GCTCCAAAATGCGGGTGCAGTGTTTCCAAAGGTGTTTACGACCCAACCAAAGCCGCCGCTGAACTTGAAAACCGCCAAAGAACTTGAAACCCAAAACGACAGTTGGAAAAGGCTTTTAACGACGCCCTTCAACTGCGGCCAGAGGCTATTAATCAAGGCAGCACGAATCGCATCCGCTGCACCACCGAACCACTGCGACACTAGCGAACCACTCAAATTTACAGCCCACGGCGCTGCATATAAATACTGCTTAAGGTAAACAGACAAAGCCCAGACAGACACATTAATTTCCAGTCCATTTGTTGTTAAGAATCAAAAATTGAAAAGCGCTACATAGCTGGCGATCGTCTCCGAATCTTCCCAGTTCGAACATATCGATGGGTATACGGGTATAGGAATGGGTATGAGTTTGGATTTCGGTTGGGGAAGTGGGCCTGAAGTGGGGGCTATCGACAATGGAGAGTCGTCGAACGAAAGAACGAGCGAACGAAGGAACGCATAGCTTAAAGTTCATTGACTGAAACTGAAAAGGTGCGTTGTTGTTCTGATGACTGCGGTTGTCGCTGATGTTGCTGCCGTTGCATTGCAGTTGCTCTTGGTTCCGATCCATAGTTGCTGCGGTTCCATAGGAATCCATCAGGCAACTTTGACTCGGACCCCATTTATATTGGCCATTTGCTTTGGCCCGGGGTTTTGCTTTCGGGTTCTCTTCTTGCGCCTCGCTAGGCGAACGTGCAAAAATGCGGCATAAGCAGCATAAGCGGCCTAAGCGATCGGCAATCAATCTGCAGATTCCAGACGCAACTCGCAACTGCAACTCGCCACTCGAGGAGGCACGCAACAAGCAATTTCTTGCAAGAATCTTCCTCTCTTGCCGTTGAACTTGTGGCCTTAAGTGGCTGCTACACTTGCGGCCAAGTTGGCAAAACAAGCTGGCCAAGAGTGTTGGCCAAAGGCAAATACAAGATGGGTTTGTAGAGAAAAGTTAGGATGGGAAAAAAATAATAAAAGTGCCCATATATCTTCGAAAAATTCGAAGGATCCTTAAAAAAATATTTAAAAAATCTAAATATTTTTGAAAGAGCTATACCTTTTACGAAATATTTTATTTGTACTTATTGTTTGTAATAGTCTCTTAAATAATATAGGTTTATTTGTTCTTGAGACCAGAACTTCAGCCAAGACCTCTAAAATGCAGGCTTTAAAAGAAGACTAAAATCGGGACTCAGACTCTTATCGGTCCTGAAGCGAAGACTCCTTCCTTCGCGCCGCTGTTTACAGGCCCTCGATGACAGACGCGTCTATTTATCTGTATCTGGCTGGCTGGACTGGTTGTTTGGTTGGTTTACATTTCGGTTTTGCGCTTCAAGTGAGAGAAAAATGTTGGGAAAATAAACAAGAGGAGCCAGCCAGCTAGAATGCCAGAGCTCCAGACGCAGCAAAAGCAAAAGCAGCCGCAGTGAATGGGATTCGAGTGGAGTGGATTGGCCCCAAAAATGAGAATAAAAGGGGGGCCCTGGGCAAAGTTTGACTGCAACAATCAAATGCTCATCAGCGCACTTGAAAAATAATGCGTTGCTGGCTAAGACAAAAAGAAGTGCGTTCTCGCAGAGACACAGAGATGTATAGATACTGTATCTCGTACTGGGTACCCGCCAGTATGTATCTTTCTTTTTTTTCGGCTTTTCATAGCTGGCTGTATTTTTCGTTGGCTTGTTTGTTTAGTTTTCGAGGCAGCGGCACTCACACAGACACGCAATGCTGCAGGTGGGAACAGGTTTTTCGGTTTCGGCTTTTCGTGTATCTCTGCGATGCGGGCTGCGTATCTCTTTTTGGCCTCGCGTTATTTATGCCCCACTGTGGCTGTAATTACAAATGCTCGTTTCCTGCAGAAAACAATCTGGACTCGGGCCATGTGTGACTGGGCATCTATGTTGTATCTTAGCTTGGTATCTCCTCGTATCTTTGTATCTCTGTATCTGCGGGATGCCCACGCACATGTGTCCACCGTTTGGGATCGATTTCCCGAAGTGGGCAAGTGCGTAAGTGGACAGCGGCATTCGAGGGCACTCTTCAAAGAGCCTCCTTCTTCTTTCGCGAAATGCGCCTGCTGCGCCCAAGCAACTTGCCCATGCCGCTCACGTATGTACAATATGGCCGATCGATTGGCAGATATAGTAGCTCATAGTTGGCCCATAGTAGCCCATGGTTACCCGTAGGCCCGCAGCAACAGCCGGTGAACGAATGGAAATTACCCTCGACAACTGCTTCGCACGCTTGGCTGCACACTCTCCTTTAAAAACAGAGCCATTTTTCCGAGTGGTGGTTAGGTTAGCAGTTGCCGCAAATGGCGCGATGTAATGGCATTTCTAATATGGGCACGTTAATGGCTCTGGGGACAAAGAAACAGGTGAGGGGGGCACAAGGAGTTCGGTCTCCGGACTCCAGAGGCAATTGCAAAATTCAAAATTAACAGCCCACAGCTGAGGTGAAAATAATAGCCAGCCTATACAACCTTTTAGTCAAGTTCTATTGGGTTCTTTGTGGTATATATAGGGTTTTTATGTTGGCAGGGTAGTTAGGGGTTTCTGGAATTTATCGCTTAGCATTTTATTACATTTTAACGTTTACTTTTTCTGGTAAGAGGCTTAAATTATGATATATTTAATGACATCATTTAATTATTTTGGTGTATTGTATTGAAATGGTTTCAATTGTTCACATGTGAGTCTGCCAAGATAATAATGACCTTTAAAAGAAAATATTTAAAAATACGTATAATCTTCTTCTTCGCATAATGGTAGATTTAGTACCAATGATAATATTTTGGCCAGCTAAAATAAATGTTATAAAAAATCCACATTTGTAGGAATTACAATTATTATACCCTTGTAGAGGGTATTATAATTTCAGTCAGATGTTTGCAACGCAGTGAAGGAGACGTTTCCGACCACATAAAGTATATATATTCTTGATCAGCACCAATAGCCGAGTCTATCTAGCCATGTCCGTCTGTCCGTCTGTCCGTCTGTCCGTCTGTCCGTCTGTCCGTCTGTCCGTTTCTATGCGAACTAGTCTCTCAGTTTTAAAGCTATCGCGATGAAACTTTCCCGAAGGTCTTCTTTCTATTGCAGGTAGTACATATGTCGGAGCCAGCCGGATCGGACCACTATATCTTAAGGCTCCCAAACAAATATAAGAAAATTCATTGTAACTTTGTAGGAAGTAGGCGTTTTGATTCTTGACTACTTAAAAACAAAATTGAAATAAATCGAAACACTGAATCTGGAATCCCTGGAACTGCACCGAGTGAGTATTCTTTTATCTACAAGGGTATATAAGCTTCGGCTGGCCGAAGGTAGCTTCCTTTCTTGTTTTTTTTTGAGAAAGATTACAGCGAATTGGGTAAGTTTGGGTGCTATTATTGTATCCCCTGGTGTACCTAGAAGCCCGAGTGTGGTGCTCTTGTTTTTTGCCCGGGCCTCATACCTGAGCAATTAGTGCGACGCTTCGATTGCGCATGCAGTAGCCCAAAGAGCAGCAGCTGCTTTTCTGTTTTTCTCCTCTTGTCGCTGCTCTTGGGCAGCTGACAAGGAGTCGGGGGGCCAAGGGAAGGGGACGTGGCAAAGTGAGCTCTTGCCAAATGACAGCTGACAATGGCTCGCCACGTTTCGCTCTTCATGCAGAAAAGGCACAACAGCTAAGTGCACAATAATAATGCACAGCAAACAACAACAAAATATCAAAGCAAAAGACCTGCCGTCGACATTTCATAAAGTTATTGAACGTTTTCAGGCGAAAAACGAAATTCGGATTGCAAGCAAAAAAAATGCGATAAAGTGCCGAGCAAAGCAAAGTGCAAAATACATGTCAGGCAGTTTGACAGCCACTGGAGATAACCTGTTGCTGTTGCAACTTCCAAAGCGGCAACAACAACTGCTACGGTACTTGCCACACAAACGGCCATTCGTGTTGGCCGGTATTTAACACAAGGTCGCGAAAACAATGAGCCAAACGACTTTAGACCGCTTATCTAAGTGCTCCCAGCTCTTTGGTAATTGTAGAAGCCTCCGCTGGACGCGACCAAGAAGCTAATTGCATGAACAGGCCACCCACCCACCCACCTACACACCCCCCTAACCATCCACCCACCTGGGAATAATGGAGGAGCAAAACGGAGGAGGCGAGAAGTAAACAAGGTGTTAATTTCCACTGCCTCGGTATTCCCTCGTTTTCTTTTCATGGATATGCATGGAAAAGGGTATGAAAAAGTTATGGCGATTTCAAGTCCAGTTTGCCATCGCAAAAATTTAATAACTATTCTTTAAGAACTTTTTTTTTCAAAAATCAAATTTCAAGTATTTTAGTCAGAAACACCAATAAAATAATTAATTCTTAAAAACTTTGACTAAAAAGAATTTAAATAACATTTGTGATTTGTTGTTAAATATTTTACCATTACAAAATTTAAACATCAAATTGTATGACTCAGAAGAGTAAATGCAAAACAAATGAAATCGACTATAAAGATTGTTAAAAATAACCCAGAAAATGTTCAATGTCAGTTCCCAGAATTGGCCAATTTCAAGAACTCTTGTAGAATACCGAAGAAAAAAGAAGAATAAATAATTGAAATTATTTACTACTTGACTTTTTCTACTGAAATACCATTTTTTTAGGGTATTGAAGAACCCTACTCTTGCCTCCCATCTCCCACTTATTTATTTTTTCTGCTCCTCCCTTGTCTTTCCCCCTTGCAAATTGAATTCCCCGCGTGTTGCGAAAGCAGATAAGATTGGAGCACGTTCTCCGCCAAACAGCCACCCACACAGAAGCGGTTCCACGCATACAAAGCGCCAGATGATATCGCGATAAGCCGACCCTGATAAGGCACTTGACTTTGGGTCGCGGAATCGTGAGGGGAATTCTCTCGTACTACTACTACTTATTGATTATTATTAAGAACTAAGAGCTGAGAAGATGAATGGCTGTCTACTTACGAACTGTGACCGTTTTCGGATCGTAGGCACAGACGCGTCGCTCCACGGCGGCAATTTTCCGCTGCACCCGCCCTGCCCGCTCGCCCACTGCCTGCAGATCCCGCTGCAGGTCGTCGAAAATGTCGCTGGCTATGAGGACCAAGCTGGCCAGCTGCCTCAGGGCATTGCTCAGCGTGATGTTGCTGATCGAGTCGAACTCATGACCCGAGATGACCTTCGAGGAGCCGGCGGTGGGCGACTGCGGTGCACTGGCGATCCTGCCCAGCGTCGGTCGCTGCTGGCTGGGATGCCGCGAATTGGGCAGCGATTGCGACTGGTGGCGCGTGGGCGAGGTGGACAGGAACTCGACGTGCTGCTTTAGCTTCTTCATGGGCGCCGGAGCGGGTGGCACCGGCTGCTCCTCGCTGCTGGCCGCCGCCTGGTGGACCAGGACGCGGGTCAGGGAAGTGGGTGAACCTGGGCTCCCGCCATCCCCATCCGGCGACTGCTTGTTGATGCAGTTGTTGTTCCGGCACTTCCCGGGCGTACAGTGGAATCGCCCGGAGGCGTGGCCCAAACTGGCCGCCGTGGCCTGGGCCACATTGACCGGCTGGACCAGGCGCTGGACGAAGGGCATCTCGGTTTCTCTCTGGGGCAACCACTAGCTGCTCCTCCTCATTCGCTCGGGTTTCAAAGGCACAGCGCACAGAAAAAGGTAATCCAAATAATCCAAATCCAAAAACACACACACGCACACAGAGGCCCAAAAACTGGTCGGACAACTTCTGGACTTGAATCCTCCGCAGTCGCTGTCGCAGCCTCCTAGCTATTGTCTACTACTCTCGGCCAAATTCCTTGGCCTCTTCACACGCACTCACAAACTAGTTTAATTCAACTGGTTTATTGGGCCCCCCCTCTTTTTCGGCTCTTTAATTTTGTAATTTTTCGGCTAGTTCTCAGCCTTGCATAATTGGCACGTCGCACTCGAGCTGCCCGTGATTGTGGCGATTTTATGGCCCGGCCACCGTTACGCGTCGTTCGAAAGGTGTGTTAGCCGGCAAAAAAAGCAGAACCGACGGTCCGCGCTCACGTCTTCGGTTTTGCCGGTTTTCAAAATAACTGCCGGTGTGGCCGATTCAAATAAATAGCCAGTGTGCCCAGTTCAATAGCAGTCTGAAAAGGCAAGCAGTGTGGCCATGTGGAGGGATTTTATTTTATCAGCACACACACAAACCATGGTTCGGAGCACTGCTAAAATGTATACGTTCTCATTTCAATTTTTGGGTTAGTTTACGAACGGTATTATTTTTTTGAGACTTTTATTGTATTCCAAGAAAAATGATTATGAATAATTGCCAAAAGTTATGTAAGTATGTGAATCATTTCAATTATTGAGAACTATAAATGGAGAGAATAACCAAAGCAAATAACGACAAAGAATAACGACATAAAACCGCTTTATCTTTTGTCGCATGCGTGGGCCTCAATTTTTGAACTTATCTTAAAAAAGATCAAGTGCATAAAATAATTCTAAGCACGAATTTTCAGTTAATAAAAGTTTCGGAACAGTTTATTTTTTACTTTTACATATATAATGGGGTATAAAAAAGCGTAGTCTTCCAAACGAGTTTTACTAAATAGTATTTAGCCCACTGTGCAGTGCGACGAGTTGAAAGTTATCGATAGGTTTCCATATTTCATCGCACTTGACAACTCTTATCGAGTAGGGTCACACCACCGTGGAAAAAATAAATAAACTACAAATTTCCTTATTTCCACGCCGAGTTAAGTAAAATCAAACAAAATAGTACAATGCCAAAGTACTATTGCGACTACTGCGACACCTACTTGACCCACGACTCGCCTTCGGTGCGGAAAACGCACTGCACTGGCCGCAAGCACCGCGACAATGTGAAGTTCTACTACCAAAAGTGGATGGAGGAGCAGGCGCAGCATTTGATTGACGCCACCACCGCCGCCTTCAAAGCGGGCAAGATCACGAACAATCCGTTCGCCGGAGGACCAGGATCGGCGCCCCCGAAGCCAGCGGGCGTGTCTATACCGCCCCCGAATATGGGTGCTCCTCCTCGTCCGGGAATGCCAGGAATGCCCTACATGCCACCGCTGATGAATCCCATGATGGGCATGCGCCCGCCACCGATCATGAATCCCATGGCCATGATGGGACCACCACCTCCGCTGGGCACGATTTCTGGCGTCCGACCGCCGATCATGAACGGACCCAAGTGACCCCCCGCAGGAGGAGGACCCGGAATTGGAGCACGGAAGGAACGCACCTCGTGAGGTGTCCTATTTAAGCTGTAGCATTTAAGTAAGCCCAATAGCAAACCAAACTATGTAAATTTATATAAAGAAAGTTTACTCAACAGATGGTTTTTTACTGGGTGGAAATATAAATTTATAAATGTAAAAGTTTGAGATATGGAAAATTAATTGTGTCTACAAAATGAGGTTCCTTATTTTATTTAAAGAGTTTCTATATCCTAACTAATTTTGTAACTTCTAGTGTACAAGATAATTAAAACCGATTAATTCAAATTTTTCGAAAAATAAAAAACTCAAAATATAACCTTAACTTATTACCCACTTCAATCAAAATTCCTATGAAATAAACATCTCTCTTCAATTCGTTATCTTTTTAATTGATTGATTGAGTTTAAGACTTAAATAAAAACGCAAAATAATTTTCAATTTCATAGGGGCAATGCCCTTGTATTCATTTCTTTGTCCAATACAATATAAACTAAAAATGCAAATTTCCTCTATATGAAATGCTCTCAAAAGCAGATGGGTATCAACCAACTTTTGGGGAAATTTCATTTAACATAAACACTCACAGGTTTTATTACAATTTTTGGGCTTACAAACTAGTTTCCGTGAATAGAATATAATGTGGATTATAATTGTTAAAATACGAATGCGTTAATCAGGGGCTTGAAGTGTAAGTAGATAATTCTTTGCCTTGTCCCGCGGATCGGCTCGTCTGCGCCTCTTACATTATATTAAAAGTCTGCACTACACAAGATTAGGTACTATAAAGGTTATGGGTTTGAGACAGCGCCTATGTATGATCCTCACTGGTTATCTGGCGACACGCTGGCGCTTGCTGGGCGAGACCAACACCGGCGATGGCTGGTGGTTGCTGGAGATGGCGTCGAAGATGCTGGACTCCGAGCGCTGGTACTCGGTGCCAATGTTTTCCAGATTCAGATCGGCATCGAGAACGAGGACCTGTAATGCAAACCGATTAGGTAAATTACAGATAAAGTTGGAGGGTATATAGAGCTACCTTGCAGGACTGCGGACGTCTGTGGTGGATCAGCCAGTCCTCGTGCAACTCGTGCAGCTCCTGGAGATACTTGAGCGGCACGCAGCTCTCCTCGGAGCGGGCGCGCTGGCGGATGCGCTCGTGGGCCACCTCCGGCGAGGTGCGCAGGTAGATGATGAGGTCCGCCTGCACGTGAATGGACTCCTCGATGAACTTGTACCACTCCTGCAGCGTATTGAACATGCCCTCCTCCAGGGAGCCGTTGCGTTTCATATTCTCCACGAAGCAGTAGCTGCGGGGAAAGCGATTCTGGTTAAACCGGATTTCGAGAGGAAGGGGCGATAATGTACTTACCGCGCACTAAAAATGGAACGCTCCATTATTTTTAGCTTCTTGTCGGTGGGCGCTGTGTGCGCCTGCAGCATGGTCAGCGTGACATAACTCTGAAAGGGCATGGCCCACTTCTTGGGGTCCTTGTACATCAGCTCCAGCAGATTGACCCCGTTCACGTTGCGCCACTTCTCGACGGGCTCGGTGAGCAGGCAGATGTCCTGCTTGTACTTCTCGAAGTGGTTCAGATAGGTGGTCTTCCCGCTGCCGATGTTGCCCTCGATGAGGACGGTGAAGGGCTGGGTGCCCTCGGCGTACTTGCGACCCTGCCGCGAACTGGAAGCTGCCGCCGCCATCAGACTGGACAAGCTGCGATCTGCACGTGAAATCGAAGGAGGAGGAGATAACGGTTTTTACTATCTGGTACAGCCAGCAAAGGGTTGCGACTTCAATGGAGTACTGAGTACTGTACACGGCGGCGGGCGAATGGTGAGTGAAACACCCCGCCAGAAGAGCCAGTTTACCGCCGAAAAGTCAAAAAGAGCGGGAACACCGCCATTTGTTTTTTACTCGGGTTTCTCGATCGGCATGTTTGTTTTTGTCAAACGGCTGATCGGCGACTGCGATTGTGTGTGTGCGTGTTCCAATGCCGGCATAAGTTTGTAGATAATCTGTAAACTTTAAATCTCAGGTAAGGCTGAATTGAATTACCTATAAATGGTATAATGTTCCTTCTGCTCATGTCCGGGTTACAGGAAACGGAATTCATGCACTTTTTTTCAACGAAATACCACCGCTGGCAGTTGTAACTATTTCTTTTGACTTATAAAATGCAATTACTTGCCTTTTTTACTTTAACATCAGGAAATGAAATCGGTTTGTTTTGAGCTAACAATCAGCTGTGGGCGATAACGATAATTACTCAGCTGTTCCGAACAGAGTTATCGATGGTTTGGGAAGAAGAAGAACTCAAGCAAAGAAGAAGAAGCAGACGCACTTTTTATCAATATTATTGTAAATTTTTAAAAACCTGTATTAAAAGATTTTATAAGGCGACTTTTGAGCCAGGCACTTGATTAGCCATGTCCATAGAAATTGAATCCGCCGAGTAAGTACTGAAAATCAAGAAATAACAAGGAGTTTAGCCTAATTCCGGTTTTCCTCCCTTTAAAAACCAAGTGTGATTCGGCTCATCCAGCAATATCTCAAGGAGTCCAATCTTATGAAGACCCTGCAAACGTTACAGGTGAGCAATGGTACTCTTCTAGAAGGTATTCACTCCATTAGCTTTTATTTTCAGGAAGAAACTGGTGTTTCCCTAAACACAGTGGACAGCGTGGATGGTTTTGTGCAGGACATCTCCAATGGCCACTGGGACACCGTGTTGAAAGTGACCCAGTCCCTGAAGCTACCGGACAAGAAGCTGCTCAATCTCTACGAGCAGATAGTACTGGAGCTGATTGAGCTGCGGGAACTGGGTGCCGCCCGATCTCTGCTCCGCCAAACGGATCCCATGAGCATGTTGAAGCAGCAGGAACCGGAGCGATACATTCACTTGGAAAACATGCTGCAGCGCGCCTATTTCGACCCCAGAGAAGCCTATGCGGAGGGCAGCAGCAAGGAGAAGCGGCGCACGGCCATTGCCCAGGAGCTGAGTGGCGAGGTGCATGTGGTGCCCTCCTCCAGGCTGCTGGCGCTTCTGGGACAGGCTTTGAAATGGCAACAACACCAGGGACTCCTTCCGCCCGGCACCACCATCGATTTGTTCCGCGGCAAGGCGGCGATGAAGGATCAGGAGGAGGAGATGTATCCCACCCAGCTGTTCAGACAAATCAAATTCGGCCAAAAGTCCCATGTCGAATGCGCCCAGTTCTCGCCGGATGGTCAGTACCTGATCACAGGCAGTGTGGACGGCTTCCTTGAGGTGTGGAACTTCACCACCGGCAAGGTGAGAAAGGATCTGAAGTACCAGGCGCAGGACCAGTTCATGATGATGGAGCAGGCGGTGCTGGCGCTGAGCTTCTCCCGCGACTCCGAGATGGTGGCCTCCGGCGCCCAAGATGGACAGATCAAGGTGTGGCGCATCATCACCGGTCAGTGCTTAAGGAAGTTCGAGAAGGCTCACACCAAGGGCATCACCTGCTTGCAGTTCTCGCGAGATAACAGCCAGGTTTTGAGTGCTTCCTTCGATTACACGGTGCGACTGCATGGCCTGAAGTCTGGAAAGATGCTGAAGGAGTTCAAGGGCCACTCTTCCTTCGTAAACGAAGCCACATTCACGCCCGACGGCCACAGCGTGCTAAGCGCCTCTTCCGACGGCACCGTGAAGGTCTGGTCCCTCAAAACCACCGAGTGTGTTGCCACATATAAGCCTCTTGGCAACGAGTTGGCCGTCAACACAGTCCTCATCCTGCCCAAGAATCCCGAGCACTTCATTGTCTGCAACCGGTCCAATACGGTGGTCATTATGAACATGCAGGGCCAGATTGTGCGATCGTTCTCGTCGGGTAAGCGAGAGGGTGGAGCCTTCATCTCAGCCACTCTTTCGCCGCGCGGCGAGTTCATCTACTGCGCTGGCGAGGATCAGGTGCTGTACTGTTTCTCCGTATCCTCCGGCAAACTGGAACGTACTTTGAACGTAAGTTGGCCTCTTCACTGGTTTTCTCGAACTGGTTTTTAACTTGATGTTCTCTTGTTAGGTTCATGAAAAGGACGTCATCGGCCTGACCCATCACCCGCATCAGAATCTTTTGGCCAGCTACAGCGAGGACGGACTGCTGAAGCTTTGGAAGCCCTAGATCATATAAGCAATTGACTTTCACACCTAGTTTTAGTTGGTAGTCCTATTTGAGCTACCGAAATATACCTACTGACCCCAAAGTGCTTGCAGTTTTTTCTCATGCCCTCTCCTGTTACAGCACATCAATATCTTCAATCATGTCTATATGAAACAAATTGACTTTAATTAAGCATTATGCAAAGCGACAGCCTCTCAGAGCACTAATCCGCAGAGTTTGCCTCAATTGGTGGACCAGCGCTTAAATTAGTCGAGCAGCGACACTCAGCCGGTTCACTTGCAACATGAAGAGCGACGAGATTATCGAGAAGATACGCAGCAAGCTGAAGGAATCGGATCCTGCCCGGCGCACCGTGGTCAATACATTCCAGTTCAACTTCACCGATGCGGATGGTAATCTCATCAAGAGCATGGGTGAGTGAGATATAGGCCTTATTGTGGGTCAATCCGCCGTTGACCGTCTCATCGTAGTCTTTGATTTCAAAGCGCTGGACATCTACGAAGGGAGTTCCTCCACTGCCGATGCGCAAGTCACCATTTCGGACGAGGATTTCTACTTGGTGGGCACTAAGCAAAAGACTTTTCAGGAGGTTCTGCAGCAAGAGAAGGCTAAGATCGATGGCGATGAGGAAGCTATTAAGAAAATGCTGGAAAAGTTTCGCATAAATTCACAAAACTAGCTAAGAGAGTTGATATAATGTTGCATGCATTTTTATGTTTCCTATTTACCTTACACCTTTCAATAATGACTGCTATTTGCACAAATAAAGAAATACAATTTTTATAAAGTCTAATTGAAGTGGATTTTTAAAAACAGAATAACTATTATTTGCCCACTAATAAACGGAAATTAAACAATAGCAAATTAAATTGGTTTTAGTATTCATTTATTTAATTACCTTTATTTATATTTAATGTTAACATGGAATTGTTTTTGTAGGTGTTTCCTTTTAATTTGAAATTTTTGTTCTGCATTTTATTATTCAACTATTTTGTTATTTGGATTCTCTTTATCTCTCTTTGGCAAACGGCGCCATGTTTTGTGCCAATAAGTGCGCCCGAGATTCGGTTTTTCTGACTTCTGTTTCTGGATTTTGAAATTTGAAAAACGTCTCTCAATTCAAATGTGTTTGACTCCCTCCTTTCAGTGGCTTATTTATAGGTTTAATTGTAATTTTAACATTTGCTCTTTTTGGGTGTTTTAATTTAACTTTGTGTTACTTTAGTAAACTTTTTAGTTTAGAACATGTTTTTGTTTTGGGATAGGTTTCACTTTGGGGACTTTCTTTCTCGAACATTTTATTAGCTTTATGTTTTAGTACTATTTTTCTTTAAATTTATGTTTAATTTTTATTGCTAGAACACAAATTTAGAGTTTTTATTAACTAATTGAATTCTTTGCTTCTGGGTTTTCTTTTCGGTTTTAATGTAATACAACAACAAAATTTGTACACTTAAACTAAACTTTATTTTTATGAATTAATTCCTAGGAGTTACTTGATCATTATGCTTTTTTTATGCAACAATTTAACAACGTTTTACTTCATCAATGTAATTGTATTTACTTTCGCTTTGTTTATCATTTTTTTGTTTAATTAATGTAGCATTTTTTTTAACAACTACATACGTTTATTATAAATGGTTTTTACGTTAAACGGGTTTAAGTTTCCATCGCTGATTTAAGCCATATTCTTTAATTTTCTCAATTTTCTTTTGCAAAACGTACGTGCGCTATGAAACCAATAATTATTATTCATTTTACGAAATTTTAGGGAATTTATCATTTAGCTCCAAAACGGAGGAAACTGATATCAACTTAAAACAATCTTAAAATTCGCAAAAGGTTTGCGTATTTTTAAAGTTGTTAAATTAACTGGAAATTAGATTTGGAACAAAAGATTGCCAAATGACATTTGACCCAACGAAAAATCAACTTAATATTGGGTTTCCTTGTGTTTAGATTCTTGTTTTTAGCTTCTTGTATAATTTACTTTATTATTATCGTTCCCTTTAGCGTATACATTTTTATAAATATTCTTGTTCGCCTTAAATGTTTATAAAAATGTGCTTAAATAGACAAAAATCTTTGAATTTATTTCCATTCCATTTCTCGCTTTCATTTTCCATCTTTGGGGCCGCCAATTTATTAAATTTCCTCTTTTATTCTCATATAAACTTTTCGATTTAGCGTCATTTAACTCTTTGCTTTTATTCTTTGCTGGAAGATACAGTTTTGATAGTCACTAATTCTTTTATTTATGCATTTTTTCTTCTTCTCCTTTTTGTTGTTGTATGTTTGATTTGTGTAGCCTCAAGGGTCGAAGATTTTTTGTACAAAATGTGTAAATAAAAAGTCATGCGCGTATGTAAAGGTAGTTAATTATTATTGTTTTATGCCCTTTAGTATGTTGCTGCCGTTATTCATTATCGGTTTATCTATCGGTTTGCGAATGTGTGTATTGTTTTATTAACGCTTACGTTCTTCGTTTCTTCTGTTGTATAATTAATTCAATTTATGCTTCACCTAAATATTACTCGTATCAAATATAAAAATCAACAACTTTATTTTATTTTTCGTCTTGTCTGCGGTCTCTTGTGGCTATGAAAATGATTCGTACTTGCACTTCCGCCTGCTGGCTCGTTTCGTTTCCGTTTCCGCTGCTGGGCTGCTCCTTCTTTTTACACATCCGCCTATCGCCCTGTGAATTTTGGTGAGCCCTTCCCCATTCCGATCCGCCATTCTCTACGTATTTCGCTATGTGTATAATATAGTTATTAAATGTAGCTATTATTTGTTTCTTATTCCTCCGTCATCCATCCCTTACTTATGTGAAACGCTTCTGGCTAATCGTGTTATCGTTATCGCAACTACAATATGCTCGCCCTACTGTACTTATTTAGCTCCGCTTTCGCTATATCGATCTTTAGCCATCTATAATGCCTACTAACCATCCCGTTTCGCTTGGTATTAAATTTATGTCTTAATCAATTCGCATTTTTGCATATTTTCTTGTCTTTTAGGTATTGTTAACTTTTGAATTTCTGTTTCTGTTCTCCTCCCGGCTTCACTGTATCTGTGTGATCCTGTGTCTGCGTGTCAGTATGCGCTGTGGGAGTGTGTGTGTAATCTACTGCTCTTGCTCTGCAAAGTTGCTTTGTTCGCCATTACCTAGTTAGCCTTATTCTAAATGCGTTTTAAAACCGAAACTGAAGGTTGCGATAAAAGTGCCTAAAACTGCGCCGAACCATCGTTAGACGTTTGCCATTTGGTTGACATGATCGATGTTGTCCTCATCGAAGTGCACATCGTTTATGAAAATGTCCGCGTCCAGCTGGTCCTCATCGAGCTCCAGATCGTCCTCGTCGTCCTCCCCGTTGGACATCAGTCCGTGTCCCATGCCCATCCCCATTCCCATGTCCACGCCGGCGATGCAGATGTGGGGCGGTGGCGGCACACTGGTGGGCGGCAGTGGGGCGGGCGGGATCATCAGGTTGCCGCTGTTGATCCCATGCAAACTGCCCGCGATGCTGGCGCCACCACTCTGCAGATGCCTGCGACTGGAGCTGAGACCCGCTGCTCAACGGAAAAGGTTCAATTAATAAAAAGTTATATTCTCAAAATAAATTCCTAAATTAGTTTTAGTATTAGGATTGCAATTTTCTAAGAATTTAGAACCCCTGAGGTAAAAATAATAATAGAAAATCAAATTTACCTTGAAAAAATGAAATAAAACCAAACTCAAAGAAAACCTAGGAAAAACATAAATATTAAATAGTTCAAATCTGCTATAATCCTATATCCTATATCAAATAAACTCACCCGTGGCACTGGTCTGCGAGTCGTAATGTGCATTCCGATGTAGGCCCAATTGACGGACATGGTTCCTACGGTTTCTTCTGGAGTGACAGAGTATGCATAGGAGACAGATTAGGGACGAGACGACGAGAAGCGTTATTATAATTAGGACGTCGTAGTCCTCCTCGGCCGCTTCCGTGGTACCTATTCATTTTTAATAGATTGGGTGGGGAGAGCAAGAGTATAGGACAGAGAATTAATTAATGACAATAGGGATTGCGAGGTAAGTAAGTTGATCAAGAAGATGTGGTTTATAGTTAGGAATGTGTGTTGATCTCTAGTTAGCTGAGATTTTCGAGTGTGTGTCATGTGGGTGAGTCGGAACTTGGTGTTCTTGTTCTGTGTGCTGTGGCTTCCATTTCTTTTCGGCTTTTAAGGTGGGTTTCACAAGTTTAGCATATCAATAGATTTAGGGCTAGGCGGTTTAGAATATTCAGTTCAGTTTAACAAAGGCACCAGGAAGATATATGGACTATATATACATCGGATGGATGCGGTGCACATGACAAGTGGGGGAAAGGTGCGGAACATAAAGAAGCCAGAACCAAAAACGGTGGCATGCTCATAAACTCAACTCTCAAAATGCGATTGAAGTGAACTGAAAGATGCAACAGAAAAGAGAAACGTGGGATGGTCGTATTTTCATTGGGCTGTGAACTGTGATCTCCTTGTACTGTGGCAATCTACGGGGTTTTTGGGTTTCGGGTTTTGATTTTTGGTTAATTTTTTCTAGATTGGGGTGACATGTATCTGGTTTGAACACTGTGCATGTCATGAGCGTGGAGTGTTGATCGATTGTAGACAAGCTTATGCGGAACTCACGTGTTAATTGTGACCATAGAGTTTCTTTTACTTAAGTATTAGAGTTAATATTTTTTGGTTTTGGCTTGGTTGCTTCGTTTCGTTTGCAATTTTTGTTTGCTTGTTAGAAAAGTGAGTACAAATGCTTTCTAGCAGAATGTTCCATTTAATTCGTTATCTTAGTTATGTTTCACGCTTTTGATTCTCGTGGCAATTCCAATTCCAATTTCGATTTAAAAATTTTGATTCTTCGAGTTTCGTTCTCTCAGGATTCTGTTTAAGTTTAGTTGTATGTATTTAACACTAATGCCATAATTGCTAAAACAAATGTCTGTAGAAATGTGGGCAAATGCTTGGAGTTTGCGTCACCTGTGCCAGGGGTAAGGGTTTTTTGTTTCGAGGAGGGGAGTTTTTTTTTATAGTTTACACAGTTTTACAGTCGAACAGTTGGTAGTGGTTTTAGGTTTTTAGTTTTTCAGTTTTGTTAGTGGAGACAAAAGAAAGAACAGAGAGAAACAGAGGGAGAATTAGACAAGTAGAGAGAGAAATAGAGAAAGATGAGTTTAGTGTGGGCGTGGCTGTAGACATCCCCATAGTCTGATATGATATCTGGGTCTGTTTTGTGTGCTGAATGCCATTCGAGGTGAGTGTGAAGATACTGAGAAATCGGGTGAGAGATAGAGAAATGCATTGGTGAGGTTTGGGTGGGGTGGGTGGTGGAACTCAGAGGATCAGGATCACCCTAGGCTATCCAAGGAGGTATGTACAAAAGTCTGGCCATCGAAAGGAAGGAAACAAAATAGCTAGTAAAGGTTCAGGACAAAATACGAATACTTAGGTGCAAAAAGACTTAGCGAGAAATATAGGGTTTATTCAGGTGGGCCTCGGAACGGGCACTTTAGTTGGTTTTTAAGTTAGTATGGATTATAGTTAGTTGTTATATATTTAGTGGTTAACGGTTTGCAAGTGTTTCGTCGGGTTCAAGTTTTCTTCACGCATCAAATGAAAAGTGTAAGGAACGCAAGATCGTACGTGG